ACCTCAATATAAATAGGGGGGAAAAAACAAAACTTGAAAGATTTAATCCCAAACTGAAGACTTCATTCAAGGCCAAATTTGACCACTTCTTCATTATTTCCAGTTACCATAAATCAGATCTTATTTTTCTCAGTGCCGAATTGCATGGTAAATGCAACTTGCTTTTGTAGCTGGCCTGAACAATGCTGTCACTCCAGTCACTTCACATACTTGCAGCAGCAGTTTTTTTTCTGGTGATGTGTCATGCTGAGGAGAAGTGTGCAGGAACTCCTGGAATCCCTGGCACCCCAGGAGCCAATGGATTGCCTGGAAGAGATGGCAGAGATGGTATGAAAGGAGACTCAGGCCCACCAGGTATGGTCAGTGGTTATCTCCCCTTTTAAATAGATGTATTGCTGTGTTGACTATTATGCTTAGTAAACTAAATGGTTTATCACCTGTTTCCTTGAGTCAGATGAAATAAAGAAATGGTGAGTTCTATTTAATGCATAGTGGAACCCTCTTACAGTGAAGTCAGTAAATACAGTGAATTTCTGCTTAGAGTGAAATTGTCCTATAGTTCCAACTTGTAGTGAACTTCTGGTGGTGCAACAACTCTCTGTGGTGTGGAGCAGGAGGAACATTTATGTTGTGGAAATGAGAGGGAAACAAAAGCAGTTCTTTGGCAGAAGAGTGAGAAGCTGAAGGAGAAAAAGTGGCAATTTTATTAGAGTTGGTTAGGAATTTTCTGACAATTTTTTTGGTCATAAAATGTCAATTTGTCAAAATCATAATGGTTTGCAGAAACGGGTTATTTTTGACAAATCTCACAATTCAAAAAACGGGGGGTGGGGGAGAAAAAAGGTTCAAAATTGTCAAACATCCAATTTTCATATTTTTTAAAAGAAAAGTTTGGGTTTTGGCTCAAACCCAGTTTTTGTTTCAGTTTTTTTAGTTGAGTTGTAGTGTAAAAAAAAGTGGGGGGCATAAAAAAGTCAAAAACAAAATGTTTTGAAATTATAGAAATAAAACACTTCAGTTGACCTGATCCAAACTTTTTTTTTTTTTTTTTTACTTCTACTTTTTTGTCTTGATTTGGGACAGAAAAGAAAACTGATATCTCAGACTCTTGTGGAAACAATCTCCCACTCAGCTCCAACTGTTAATTTGTCCCCTGCCCCGTGACAAGCTTCCCTTACAGAAAAGGATTGTGGCTTCTTCAGCCATTTTTAAACCCGCTTCCCAGTGTCAAAATTAAATGGGGCGCTGGTCTATAGTCCAAATTCATTTTTTTGCAAGAAAATTAGATGAAAGTGGCTGTTGGGCATAAACTACAACTGATTTCTTGGGCATAAGAGGAGAAGGCAACAGTTCAGGGTCTTCTTAAAATGAGAGAGAATTAGGGCAGAAAACTAACAATTGATCAATGCATTCACAAGCATAGCTTTCCCCATCTCTTTTCAATTACCCTTTCAGTGGGAACTACTTTTCATGCAGAAGGATACTTTCTATAATGTTCAACAAAACTGGTTTTTAAAATGAATGAATGAAAATGTAGTACCAGGAAGCAATTACATGTCAGTGTATTAATTAGGCTTCTGATGCACTTCTCAGGTTGTTGAAGCCAAGGGGCTGTATGCTCCATTGGTCTGTTAATGCACCACCTGCAGATGCTGATTGTTGCATTGTGCAATATTCCTTCCATGCCAAAAGGCAGGTCAGAAGCTTTCTCCAGCTCCATCACCAAAGATGCTCCAAGATTGAAGTAGTTGGGCTCCTAACATGCATTTGGTTGCTCATTCCAGGGAGTCAGTGTTTTGCCTCTGTTATGAAGCCAACAGACACCTGAGGCTTGTGCATTAATGAAGTTATTCAGAAGCACAATGCAGTTTGTTGCTTTGCTGGCCAGCATCTGTTAAACCCATGTTTATTCTGAATTTCCCATAAAATGCATCAGTTGAAAAGAAATTTTGTACATTTTTCATTTGTGTGCTTCTCTTCTCCAGGTCCTCAGGGGCCACCCAGTGGCATGCCAGGTCTTCCTGGAAGAGATGGGCTTCCTGGGGTGAAAGGGTCCCAGGGTGAAAAAGGCAACAAGGGGGAGAGAGGGGAGCCTGGACCACAAGGTGAATAAGACAAATCTTTGTTTAGTCCAAAAAAACTGGATACTTGTGCTGTGTATAAAGCTGTCCAGGGAAAAGTAACTGAGTCTATTGAAGTGCAGTTCTGCTATTAGAAGTGACTGTAAAAATGGTGCCTTTGTTATTCAACTGATCTGCTTCCTGTATCTATCATATCAGACCTCCTGACTGTATTGATTAAAATACGTTTTACTACCTTTTACTCGTCTTACAAATGCAGAGCCAGCACAGCTCCGAGACACTGAGAAGGAATCTATTCCTCCTTGTGCAGCAGCAACAGAATCCTGTACTGAGTTTCAATCAGTTACAGTTATTCTACCCCACTAATGGCAATGGGACTGTACAGGTGTCACAGATGGCATAATTTCACCCGCAGAAGTTTTATTACTGGTGATGATTTTGTATGAAAATCATAGCCAGCTTGATTCTCAGATACCATGAAAAACTTGCATTCTGGGAGTTTTTTTGTTTTTAAAATCTCTATATCTATAAACTATGAATATGTCATATGTCATCTTGGAAAGAACTTACAATGACATTTTTGCAGTCACTATTCAGATAGAAGCATACTGAAAAACTATTAGAGTTTAACTGATCATAAAGGAAACAGAGAAGAGAATTCCAGTTCTGTTCAATATCACAGGAACTCCACACCAACTAAAGTTTTACATTGTGGCTGTCAAGTTGCAAATTTTAATCAGAGCAAGTTCTGATTAGCTCAGCCTACACAGGATACAGTTTCTAAAATATTAACCCTTTCGTGGATTTCACATACACAAAAGACTTCAGATTAGAAAAATTGATTTTATTTCACATGTAATGTGCTTTAAGTAACTACGCTCCAGTAGTTGAAACTCTCTGGAGTTTCAACAAGCATATACTTTATTTATTATGTATAAGAACAATCAATATGTGATAGGGTTTCTTTGAAAATATATAAATGCAGGGAAATAGAATTTTCCACCACAGAAAATGAAACTGACATACATCAAGTACAAGACAATTTTGGAAAATTGTTATTAATTGTATATGATGCATTTTTCATATCAGTGAAGTCCAGTTTAAATCAATTGTATAATTATTATTATCTCTAGGCCTGCCTGCTTCTGTTGATCCTGAATTGCAAGAAAGCCTCCAGGTTTTAAAACATCGAATTACCAGACTGGAAGGAGGTAATCTTTCTGCTTTTCCTCACAACTTCTGTAAAATGCAATGTACAAAATGAACCGTGATAGCCCAACTTAAAGTAAGTTATATTTCAAAAATAGTATTCCATTCTAAAACTTTCCTCACCTAAACTTACTTCCAAGCACCAATTAAGAATGCTGAGGTGTTTGTTGCACATTGGAAGGACAGGAAAGCTGATCCAGCAGCCCAGCCTGAGATGTGGGAGACCAGGGTTCAATTCCTGCTCTGCCACAAATATCTTGTATGACCCTAGGCAAGTCACTCAGTCTGTCTGTACCATAACATGGGGATAATAGCACCGCCCTACCTCACAAGGGTGTTGTAAAGATAATTTGTGAGGCGCTCAGATACTGCAGTAATGGAAGCCACGCAAGAAAGATTGGTCAGTGTATGTGTGTCTATGCAGTATATAGTGCAATGCAAAAGGCTGTCCATAAGATGGGGCATAGACGGGGGCTTAGGGCTATACAACATACTGAGCATTCTGCATACTACATGTATGAATGGAGTATCAGAACTTACATAGACTAGAATCAAAAGGGACTAGGCACAGCATAGTGCGAAGGACTGTACTGTGCATGTCCAGCATGTAGGGCAGCACGTGGAAATAAACATCAAGCAGGCTATTGCAGTTTGTCTTGCTTGTACATGTTGCTTTTTGGGAGTAGGTTTCCCTCACCATGACCAACTGATTAATGTGCCACTCCCACTTTAGGGAGTGGAATCTGCAAGTCTTAACAGAGCAGAAAAGTTACCCCCTTTTGTCTAACTCTCCATTGGTTTATTTATGAGGAGGAGCAAGATACATGCAAGGTGAAGTGTGCGGCTCAGCTCTTTTGAAACACAGATCATCTGGGGAGGGTACTCACAGGGACTGAACTCCATCTGGAGAAGCTCAAATCCCTAATAGGAGACTGCTTAGGGCCCATTCCCTCAGCAAGAGGATCTATATAGGGTTGCCACAGTTGTTCTCCAAAGCAGATAAGATCTCTGTCGAGCTGACACAGGGCCTGATTCTCCCCGAGTAGCAAGGACCTTTAAGGAAACGCCACTCACATTCATTCAAATCGCATTAAAAAAATCTTGTTAAAAGGATTTTGTAGTGTTATAGTTGAGCTCTTGGGAATCATTGAAACTGAGGCAGTTCTATGATGGCAGTAGTGCTTATATTCTCAATACACTCTGGGGTGGTGTAGTCATTAGAGCTGTTGGGGAAAATTGGGGAGAAAAATCAAAGATTTTTGTCAAAATTACTTTCCTTTTCTCTTGTTAAAATTTGGAAAATTTCAATCCGCTCTACTGATTGCACATAACAGAGCAGGTCTGAAAGTGTATTTAGTATAGGGGAGTAGAGCACACTTAGGTTGTAGGAGAAGAGACAGATGTCCATAGGTGAAGAATTATATAGACTCGCTGAAAAAACGAATGAGTTGGTAGGATTGACACAGAGGTAGTTCCTCCTTTTCTCCTCCTCTTCACTCTTTTCCTCTGTCTCTTTTCAATCCTCTTTCCTTTCTCCCTTTATTTTTTCCTCCTTCTTTCCCTTTCTATTTGTAATGTTCTCTTCTTTTCCTTTCTTTCATTTCCTCATGGTTTTTCTCCCTTCCCAGGAGTATAGTAGGAACATGGACAGTATAAAATAAGACAAAAAACCAACCAGATCTTTTCACTTTCCTTTGCAGTCCTTACTTTGGAAGGAAAACTAACAGAAGTGGGGGAAAAAATTCTCGCTACCAGTGGGAAAGAAGTCAATTTTGAAACCACATTAAAAGCATGCGAACATGCTGGTGGCTCCATCGCCACTCCCAGGAACAAGGAGGAGAACGATGCTATTTTGGATATTGTGAAACAGTTTAACAGATATGCTTATCTGGGTATAAGGGAGAGTGATGTTCCAGGTGAATTCCAGTATCTGGATGGGAAACCTCTGAATTATACCAACTGGCATGCTAGTGAGCCAAATGGCAAAGGAGGGGAAAATTGTGTGGAGATGTACACTGATGGAGGCTGGAATGACAGAAAATGCAACCAGTACCGCCTCACTATCTGTGAATTTTAAAGCATATCCTCTCAGTAATTTCATAGTGCAGAGTCCATGCAATATTCTGTGTCTCAGACATAAACAGGAGCCTGTTCTCTCAGCAATATAGCTAATGTCTTCTGTGATTATTTTATCTGAGAGAAACAAAATCATGATGTAATATTTTCCTTCCTCATGCTTACTAAGGAAATAGTAGCTATCGAAGGTGATTGATTTGTAACTAGAATTATCCCTAATTTGAGAGGGGGTTAATTATAGTAACCAAACTCTGCCTTGTCTGACTGTGGCTGAGTAAGCTCCAGGTAAGGATTTCAGGGTTTGGCTTAGTGTGTTTGAGGAGTCCCATGCTAAGACAACTTTGTACATTCCATTGTAGTTACATGCCTGGATAATGCAGCATATACTATGCCACAACATTAGAGGAGCAGGTGTCAATCCTGGAAGGAAATGCACACAGGTATACTTCAGTGGATCTGCCTATATGCATCTCTTTGCAGGACTGAGGCCATACTGTGTAATATGAAACCCTGCAATAAAATTCAACTCAGTTATTATAAAGGGAGATCACAACAAAAGCCCTGGAAATCATAGATCATTTAGCTATACTGCAAGCTGCCCATTTTGTTTTTGTGTGTCAAATACCCTGTTCTCCTATAGCACTATAGAAATAGTCATTTACAGTATTTTACAGTTCTGTCAAGACTCTTTTATATCATACTAACCACTGGACAAACAATATCATTCTGATGTGTAAACTGAATAGATTTTACACACCCACACAAACCACATGCACATCTGACCACCATCATCAGACAGCAAAAGCAAGGTTTGAGAAGAGGGCTGCCAGCAGTGACATAGGTCCTGATCCAAAGCCGTTGATTTCAAAGAGCTTTGGCTCACCACCACCACCACTACTACTACTTGGTATTCAGATTGAGTAACTGGGCTGTGCATTGGGAATCCTCATAAGCAGAAGGGAGTGAGAAATTTCTCACACACTTCCCCATCCTGTGGAGCCAGAGCTCTTGGTAACTTGGTAACCAGAGTTTGCGGCCTTGAGGCCCTAACAAACATTCCTGAGGGCACATCCTGCTCTTCTAAAATGCATGTATCGGCAACTTCAACACAATTCTTATCAGGAAGGATGTGGGGTCAAGCTGCCCTTTCTGTGGCACCCAAACCCCCTCCCCTCCTGCCTTGGTCAAGCTGAGGCTGCTGCATAGCCATTTTACGGCCTGCTGACTTGACTACTTTTAGCAATGAGCAACAGTAGGTTCAGACACTTTACTGGTTTGTCAAAATCTCCCCATACACAGCTTCCCAGGAGTGTCCTCAAACCATTCTCTCACCAATGCAGGAAGAGAAGGAGGTACCACAGGTATACAGAGTAATAGACACACTGGTCCTAGCTTCTCCTTTTCCCAAGATCTTCCTGGATGTTGCTACCCAGGGAGCCTGCATAGTGTTGGACTCTACACCATGCCGGGGAGTGATCTTTTTCCTATCCTACACTGTAGGGACTCCTCTGTATGGCCAATTCATACACTGTGCTTCAGCAAAACTTTGAGTTCCAATATTAGGGAATGGAGTATTTTTTGGCAGTAAAGGAGGGGTCCCTTGTACAGGCCAATACACAGCAAAGGTCTCCAGCCAGTCTAAGAATGTGCAACATGACTGCTACTTCAAAATTGGCATAGAATAGCAACTCTTGATATAATGTCCATTATGTGGATTTCATAATGTTGAATCTTCACTTGCAAAATAACCTCTTTAAAGTCCTATTGTTGGAAAGTTGTCTTGGCCAAAAATATGCCAACTAGAATGGCATAGATTCTGTGAAGAAGGAAGATTTACTATTCTACAAACAAAACTCTTGGCTTTATCTATCTTTGATTATTACAATGTAGCCACTTAGTTGATTTTATCATTTCATTACACAGCTAGAAGGACTTTCCTTTCTTATATGAAGATTGCTGGATAACACCCGTCCTTGTGATAAATAGATTTAGGAGGGGTTATACTTCCAAAATCAAACACAGACCTGGAAACAGCAGGAAATCTGCCCCTTTTGTAGGACTTCAACATTGTACCAAAACCAAAGTCTGATGCTGAGGCCGCTGTGGGTGACTTAACATAGGGTTCAGCCTGAGTACCTGCATCTCCCCAGTGATATCTTTTCTTTTATGTGGATACATGGGATACCAGGCAGCAGGACCTGTCTGCTGTCTAGAGTTTCGCTTATTTTCTCCTGTTGTTTTACAGCATCTGGATGAGTGGGTTCTCTTCTCTTAGAGGCCGTGAAAGGAGCGATGTTTTGTGGTGCTTTTTAATGATGCAGCTACTGGTGTGCAAAGTAACCTGCTCATTCAGGTGCTGAAAAACACCTAGAGAGACAGTGTGGTTCACTAGAGTGGACTGAGACTTGAGAGCTTGGGTGAAATCTTGGTGCCACTGAAGTCATGGTTCTGTTTCTTGTTCTGCTGCTGACATGCTGTGTGACCTTGGGTGAGTTGTTTCCTTTCTCTGGGTCTGTTTCCCCTCCCATTCTTTGCCTTTCCTGTCTGTTTGGAATGAAAGCTATTGGAGACAAGGATTGTCTCTTAATATGTGTATGCACCGTGCCTCTAGGTACTATTGTAATGCAAAAATAGTAATAAGAAAAAATGAAGGACACTCTAGAACTCAGAGGCCCGACCGTCTATATCTGAGATGGACAAGGTTTCTTGTACTGTTCCTTTTTGAACCTCCCCTAATGTGCAGTTTCTTGACTCCTAGAATGCACCGAAACCAATTTGGATAAATACTGAAGTTCGGAGGCCTTTTCTAACCTTTTTCAGGTTCAACCATCATTAATAAGATTATTACCTTCTCCTGGCCACTGCAGGAGTGGTTGTTACATAAACTGATGTATTAAAGTTTATGAAAACTGATATTTGCCCTGTAATTTTTGAGACAAAAGCACATAACGCTTGGTATCTTTACTCAGCTGTGTAAAGTTAATTAAATGTTCCAGGAAGCATCAGTGATTAAGTATTTATTCAGAAAAAGATTTTTTCAGAAAAACATTTGGGAATCAGGAAGTTAAGTGTATTTGACGTCTAGCTGGGAACCTGTCTAGCTCTTGTTACCTTTAATGACAGACCTCTATTATGAACCAATAGTTGTAATAGGCTTAATTCCACATTGATCTTTGAATTTGCCTATTTATAGCGAGCTCAGTTTCTAAAGCTTTCGTGCACTCTGATAATAGTAACCAAATAGGTAGTATCTAGTCTATTGTTCAGGGTATCATGACACGGTTATCCCCTATAATGTGTTCTCCAATGATCTCCAATTCAATTGGAAATATCTAAACCAATGGGGCCTCCGCCACTTCCCTTGGGGACCATATACATTCAAATAGATGTCATGATTAAGAAATGTTTCCTGCTATTTAGCCTAAATCTTCCCCTGTGCTAGACTTCATCCCATTACTCCCAGTTGGACCAGCTCTAAACAGCTCCTTTTCCTCCTTGGTGTAAACACCCCATCATTGATGTGATTGGGTGCCTCGGGCAGCCCACTCTGAGAATGCCACATTCAGGGCAGACAATCCCCCAAAACTGTGGTTTATTCTTTAATTAGATTCACCCAACCGGTAACAAAACAGCTTCTGCAGTACCACACTGATTAACCAGAAACCAAACAACAGTTCCCTTAGGCATTCCAGCCCTTGGCTCCCATCTGGGCATCCCTATCTAATATATTGAGAGGTTATTGAAAACCCGCTTTACCATATGTGAGGTTCTTTCTAAGCCCAAAGGATCAGACCCATAGACCGAGGTCAATATATAACACAGATCTTACCCAAATGTCATGCTGTCAGCCAATCCTTAGTAAACTAACTAAAGATTTAATAATAAAAGAAGAGAGTCATAAATAGATCATATACATGCAAATGATTGTGAAGTCCTTATATCAGGTCTGTAACACTGATGTCATAGGCTGCTGGCTTGTAAAGTCTGTCTGATAACTTCCAAAAGATTGAAAGGACCTCAAGCCATAGTTCAAGATGCTCATTTTAGCTATAAATTCATAGTCCAGAGCAGAGAGCGGCAACATGGAGCAGTTTCAGGTGTCTTTTTATATCCTCTGCCATATGCATGGAATATTACTGTCCCAAACAAAGCCCACAGCCCCTGTATGTGGAAAGTTACTGGCCCAAGGTGGAGTCCAGGTTCACCTGAGCATATCACATGCCCTTACATGCTTTGCTGACTCATGCGGGTGGCCATTGGCTTCTTGCTGTCTGAGGCATGAAGAGCTATCTGGACAGGATGAGGGTTTGTCAATGGCCCATTGTGAGAGTGGAGTAACTGGGCAATAAAATGGCAGATGAAATTTAATGTTGATAAATGCAAAGTAATTCACATTGGAAAGCATAATCCCAACTATACATATAAAATAATGGGGTCTAAATTAGCTGTTACCACTCAAGAAAGAGATCTTGTAGTCATTGTGGATAGTTCTCTGAAAACATCCACTCAATGTGCAATGACAGTCAAGAAAACGAACAGAATGCTGGGAATAATTAAGAAGGGGATAGAAAATAGGACGGAAAATATCATGTTGCCTCTATATAAATCCATGGTATGCTCACATCTTGAATACTGCGTGCAGATGTGGTCACCCCATCTCAAAAAAGATATATTGGAAAAGGTTCAGAAAAGGACAACAAAAATTATTAGGGGTATGGAATGGCTTCCGTATGAGGAGAGATTAATAAAACTGGGACTTTTCAGCTTGGAAAGAGATGGCTAAGGGGAGATATGATTGAGGTCTATAAAATCATGACTGGTGTAGAGAAAGTAGAAAAGGAAGTGTTTACTACTTCTCATAACACAAGAACTAGGGGTCACCAAATGAAATTAATAGGCAGCAGGTTTAAAACAAATAAAAGGAAGTATTTCTTCAGACAACGCACAGTCAACCTGTGGAACTCCTTGCCAGAGGATGTTGTGAAGGCCAAGACCATAAAA